GTTGGATTTTGTGTGCTGGTGTGCAAAGGGTTGGCATACACGACGTGTTCTCTTTAGACCGTCCCTTTTGCCTGGGACATTGCATGCTTAGATGAATCTTCTTGATCATTGTGTCTTCTTTGAGGTGACTTTGTTGAATGAGAGGCTGTGCTCCTCTAACTCTGTCCACCAGCTCTATGTTGGAATGGCCCCAATACAATGTACACTTGGTTAACAGACAGATCAGTGGTGCTGTTTGGTCGTCTTAACTACTCTTATCAGTGAGCCTGCCAAATGTCTTTGTACCCAGGAAGCCCATAACTGTCAGTGTCTCAGGAGGTTTTAAGCCCCTCTTCCCTAGTCTTCACACGTAAATTGGAATTGCTTTACTGCATCCTCATCATTCGCTCGTGCGGCTTGTTCCGATCTGTACCTTAGCTGCTTGCACAAAGATTCTCTGAGTGGGAAGGCGACCTTCAAGGATCATCCGCCCTTACTGACAGTCACTCATTTAGTCTAAATCCTTTGTTTTTACAGATCTGGAACTGAAGACTCATAGGACTTGTCTAAAGTCTCAAAGTAACCCACTGCGTGGGAAAAGCCAAATCTCTTGTTCTGAGTAGGATTAAGTGTGGCAGATCTCCCTGAACCACTGTTCATGCCTCTTTAACATCAGCGATTGTATCAAGCCCAAGCTGAGCAGCTGCAGTCTCTCAACAGGGCCAGGGCCAGCCCAGAAGGGTTTACTGGAAAAAGCTGTTTCATATGATGAACCACAGCATGAGAGTGCAACTATGGTTTTTGCTAAGGTACATTAGCTGTCTCTCTGTACCTTAGTTGATTTAGGAGAAAAGTCTTATTGGCTCACAACCAGTGACAAATTAGGAGCAATTTAGTTCTCTTCAAAGAAACTAGTTATAACCCTGTCCCTCTCCAATGTCAATTAGTCACCCTTTTTTTATGCTCTAAAAGCATTTTATTTGTGTCTCTAGTTGGCATGGGACATGAGTGACTGCATTTTCAGTGTTGTTAGTTCATATATTGGCAGTATGAAGTGGTTCAAATTGGGGGCTCATGGGATAACCATTCCTATCCTAAAAGGATAGGAGGCTTTTAGCATATATTCTTGACACCTTTTAAAGCAGTAACAGATGTGAACATTCAAGAGATTTTAAATAACTTAATGATATAATTTTGTTACTGAAGATTACGTATCAGAATAAGAATCTAAAGTGAATAAAATAAGGGTGACCCTCCTTCAGCGGAAGGATTAAAAATAAGAAATGGATATCTTTTCATTTAATCTGCACTTGTGCATTCCAGACCAGGACACAAAGATTTTGTTGTTTTTCATTTCTTGAATGACAGAGGACTAATCTTTTGGGGGAAGAACTCATGACTTTTAAATAAGTCAGTTGTGCCATAAAACATACGATTTGCAATGAAATTATTTAAGGGGGAAAGAATGTGGTTAAGAGTATAGTAATATGCTATTTGCAATGCCTAGCATCCAAGGACACTTTCTTTTCCTGAAACAATGTTTTGAGACAGATGATAATTTTAGAAGTTGATGACACAGCCCCTGACCCTGCCCTGGCTCTGGCTTCTGGTACATGACACAGAAGGACACCATTGACTTCCCCATATTTTAAAAGTGACCGTCTAGGTTGAAAAGCATAGATCACTCTCCACATGTTCGGAAAGAAAATCTCAGCGGAGACTCCTGCTGGCAACAACCTATCTCCTCTGTTGCTGCTTGATGTTTTCATTTGTTATTCTGGGTGGGCTGACTGGAAGAGGTTAAGTGTTTAGTCACCCACCCCAACCCTATTCTTAGATTTTAGGAGTCAATGTCTGAACCTACCTTGTTTTTGGTTTTTTTCTTCTTTTGGTACTGGGGGTCAAACTTGGGTGCTTACACTTGGGAGACGGGCGGCAGAACCACTGAGCTAAATCCCTGACCCCAAACCTACCTTGTTTAGGTTGACATAAAATTAAGGATTTAAATTGATGGGCATGAAGAAGCATTGAAATTTAAGGCTGTTCCATGCCAATTACGTTTTTTTAAAGTTCTTCGGAAGTGAAAATGGGAAGACGTTTCGCTTGTTCATTGTCATTGGCTGAAATGGACTTCCAGACTGTTAGTGCATTGCAGCTCTCAGTGTCCTCATGTTTCATGTTCTTGGCTGCACTTTTCAAAAGCTGGTGATGGTCAGGGCTCTGGGGATTTAGCTCAGCGGTTCCGGAGCCTGTCTGGCAAGTACAAGGGCCCAAGTTCGATCCCTGGTACATAATAAAAGTAGGTGATTGTCGGTAGCCTTTTTTCTGGTAACAGGATTAAAAGCTGATTTATTAGTTATTTAGGGAAGACTGCTAGTTAATTTGCGATGAAATCTGTTAGGATGGTGGAGCAGGGCTGGCTCCCCAACCTCTAAGATCTCAGTTGGAAAACTTCCTTAAGCCGAGTGTGTGATTTTTCCACCACTCTTGTGGACAGTGGCCTCCTCTTGCCCATCCCTTTGCACAACTAAAGTGTGCAAGGGCACAAAAGCTCCCCAGAACCTCATTCTCCGGGCCAGACTCTCAGAACACGAGGGGCCTCGGACAACAGGGAGAGGACCCAGACCCAGACACAATCAGACCGAGGGACACCTGTGTCACTTTTTCAATCACACAAAAGAAGGAAGGCTCTGCACTCGCCTCCCGCAGTTTTTCCCTGGATTTCATTTTCACATTTAGCCCATTCTGTCTTATGCTTTGCTATTCAGGAAGACTAGTCCAAGAGTATGTCTCTGTCACCATGATTTCTTATAAAGACGGAGAAGGGGCCGGGGGCGGCGCTGTGCTCCCAAGGCCTCCATGACAGCCTTTGGGTGCGGGCAGCACGTCTGCCTGGCCACCACTTCGTACAGTCACCTCCTAACCCCCCATCCTCCCTGTTAAAGACCCACACACGGAGACTAGGACTTGTGCGCATGGCTGCAACACGGAGTGGGAACAGTAAGGTTTGCTCTTTTTTTTCTTCTTTTTAAGGTTTCAGTTTTGAATGTCAGAAAAAGTCCTAGCTTTAACCTGGACGAGCCAAGATTTCTTGACATCGTATATTTCCTGTTTGTAAAAGTGTTCAGAGCATCCCTGTGCAAGTCCCAGGAGTCCCTGTGTAATGCGTAGCATGGCATGGGCCACGTTGCAGGGGGGCTGTTGGTGTTGCTTCTCTTCCTTCCGGCTGGATGCACCCCCTGTCCCCAGCACATCTGCAGTTCTTCTGTAATCTTCCGCGCTGTTGCTTCTCTCTCCCCCTGACTGCCAAGAGGGTTGTGCCAGTGGTTCTGCCTTCCTGTATTTTTCCTTTTCCTCTAGTAGCTCGATAAGGCTCCTCTGGAAAAGCATGAGGCTTGGAACTACTAAGGAGATGTGTGCTTCCCAGAGCCCAGGAGCGGAGTTTTAATGAGTTTTTTCGCTAGAAAACAGGGAGGAGCAGAACTATCCTTTACCTCTAATGGGCAGTTTGGTTCTGTAGGTTTCTCAAAGCAGGATGACTGTGGGCTACTGGGTCTGGAGATGAAAAGACTGTGAACATTTCTCTTCAAGTTCCTGCAGTGAAAAGTAAAGTTAGGTTATTGACTGTATAGCGGCTATAAGCTGAGAGTCTGTTTTCATTATTAAAACAAATATGCTTTTGGTTTATGTAGATTTTCCCCTTTCTACTTAGACGGCTGTGAACATTCAGTAAGGATACCAAGAAAGGCCATGCCAGTGGTTGGGCCTCCAAAGCTGTCCTCTGAATGCTAAACAACAGAAAAAAAAACAAAAACAAAAACTTTTAAGTGATTGAAAATGAAAATGAGAGCTTGATTGGAAGCCAAATTATAAATTTATTTCAACTCTTGGCCTGCAGGCTGTGAAGTAACATTATTTGTTGTCAAGTTTGGAAAACAACTCAGATTCAGGTCCAAGTGATTATTCCACTTTGACACTGGTGCCTCCCTGCCAACTGCAATTGCATTTAGTCATAGATTAATTAGCCTGGCAGAGGCGGAAGAAGGCAAGGAGAGCCAGCCACAGGAGGCGGCAAGCCAGGCCATGAGGTGGGGCCAGAGGGACTGGGTCCTAGGCAATTTCCAACCACCTCAAGGTTAACCCCGTGCTGAACTGGGGAGAGACAGTGTGGATGGAAAACGGACTCTACACCTCGGTACTACACCTTCCAGGTCTACTGACTTGGCTGGTGCCAGTGAGCTGGGGAAACCCTTCACCCCAGTCCCCAGGCGGCATCCCCAGTCACCGGACCAGTGTCTGCAGACTCAGCACTCATCCGCTTTGCTCTGGGGCTTGCACAAACACTGCAGGACTCTCTTACTCCTGCCAGTGAAATGGAAGCAGCAGCGTGTGTGCACACACACATTACTGGGTTATAAGGACAGGTGGGATCACAATCACTAGAGCTCTTGAGCAAGCGGGCTCTGTGAGAGTTAAATGAAGACAGGGTTATTAACACGTGTAACAGGTAGCTCGTTCTTTTTTCGCGGTATTTCCTGCTGGCCTTCCATTCCAGGGTATGCTACCTTCACCTCTTTTCCCATTCTGCGTTCATCTTAGCTACACATCTCTTTCCTCCAAAGAAATTCCTCTCCGGCAGGGGCAGTGCGCTGTGGTGCCCCCTCCTGTCCCCTCCAGGCTCTGTCGCTGGAATGAAATGAGCTTGGAGTGCTGCAGGCCTGCGCCTCCAGCGGTGGCACCCAGCGGGACCCAGGGCGCTGTCTTCCCAGGGGCTTGTGTTCCTTGGGAAGCAACCCGAGTGGAGCGCTGTCTGTCCCGCCCGGCTGCACACTGCGCTCCCCGGGGACGG